GCGAAAGATTCGTTCACAGCGAAAGATTCGTTCACAGCGAAAGATTAATTCACAGAGAGTGATTCGTTTGCAATGAAAGATTAGTTCACAGTGAAAGATTAGTTCGCAGAGAGTGATTTGTTTGCAGTGACGATTAGTTCACAGTGAAAGATTTTTTCGCAGTGAGTGATTTGTGAGTGATTTGTGAGTTCAATATGAACAAATATTTAATATGATTCGGTAGTCACGAGTCACGAATCTTTCATATGACACGGGAGTCACGAGTCATGAAAGTGAAATGACTCGCGAACGACACATCACTACCAGGTGGCATTGCCGTAAATTGCCGACCAAGATGGCGACAAGTGCTGCACAACACCTGCGGAGAACATAAGAAAGGGAAAAGCGCATAAGTCCATCCGTGCATAAAGCCAACACACACACGCGGTGTTAACTAGACAACATTGGTAACTTTTTTCAAACTTTTTCCTCCGACTTTGAAACTGGAACGCTGTTATTATGTGACGTTATTCCCAGCTTCGACAAACTAGGTAAATGGAACACAGTTCTCCGTATTGCTGTGAGTACCTGCTAGACGCTAATACACACTAGAGTGACTATAACACGTCAGTATTTATTTTGGTTATGACGGGTGTACGATAATTCACTCAAAATACAATAATTCTATACCTCCGGTACGATAATCCTACATTTACCACCTGGCAACACTGGTCCTCAGACTCACCATCAGCATCAGTTCCAGTTAGTCCAGGTAGTTAGTATTTTCTGCTGCTTCACTGTCATTTTTTTTATTCAGCAGTTTAAATTCTGCAGTTTGACTTTGTTGGAAGCATTTCATTTGTGTTCTTTATGGACGATAAAAAGGTTTTTAGTGTAGTTTTTATGAATTTAGGAAGTCTTTATGGTTAAGTTGTGTTTTTTTCAGTGGTGCAGTAGCAGCATTCTGTTGTCACGATTGTCAGCGTGGAAAGTTTCGATATAGGGTATATTTTCTGATATATACAGACAGTAAGACTTTTCTGAAAGCAACACTTTTTCTCCTGTGTTTAGCTTCTCCTGTGCTGTTTTACCCTACTTCATATTTTCTACAACAATTACTAAGTAACAATATGTTTTTTTTGCCAAATTTTAAGCATTCTTTTCTACCCAGCCTTTATCCATATAATTTATTTAATTTGATCAACTATATTTTTAAACCACCAGGCACTCGCCTGAAGGTCCTTGCTCACGGGACTCGGCCGGGCTCAGCCCGAACAAGCGACGTGAGTCCGCTTTCCAGTGGGCCCACCACACAAGGTAATGCTAGTTATACAGTTATTGCACATATACAGTTTTAGTATGGTGTATTGATGACTACATACCCTGATCACTTCCCTCTGTATCTGTCTCTGGTCTCTCTGTCCTACTGTCACCTCCTTCATCTTGAAAAGGTGATTTCTCACGGCAGCTAGGAGCACACACAGGGAACAAGTGGAGCAAATCCGCTTTCTTCTCGTTCTCCAAACCAGCAGACAGTTGGCAGGTATGTCCATCACTTGATATGGTCACATATGTTTATTATTAAAAAACTATTTCACATGGTGTTTAATGACAACATGAGACACGTGTATCTGTCTTTCTTGCCTGCAGTATGTGGTTTATAGACCTGGCAGGAAGTGAAAGGGCATCAGACACCAAAAAAACAAACAGACACAGTCGCATAGAAGGAGCTGAGATCAACCAAAGTCTCTTAGCAGTAAGCTAAGTAAGTGATATGTTAACACACACAAAGAGCTCAAATACAGAAACAAAGGTCATTGTATTTACCTTTTATTTGTTTAAAGCTCAAAGAATTGTAGGTGCAATGGGTCGAGTGCTGCTTAGGAGCACTCGGTGTTATCAACCAGTCTCAAATTAATAACACAACCAGTCTCATTAAAGTTATCTTTAATTATTATTTTAACCTACTAATATAGCAATAATGTATTACTTTAAGTATTACAAATATACTAAAATCAATAGTATCCAATAACAATTAAATATCTGAAGGATTTTGAGAGTTCTTGGCAAATTGGGTGGCTTCAATGAATAAAGTAACAACACAGACAAATACAGTTTACAAAAATAATCAAATTTATTTATACAACACTGTCAAGTTAATGACGGTGATTGAACTCATAAACAATGATCATTATAACAAAACAAGGCGTGTGTGTAGGGGTGTGTGTGTACTTATGTGCGTGTGTACACGAGCGGTCGTGTACGAGAGAGAAAGAGAGAGAGAGATGTTGCCTCTCAGCTACCAAGCAAGCGACTGAGCCCTTGAGGCGTGTTCACATACGCGACTGCGCAGTGGAAGAAGAACTGCGAGGTAGAAGGAACGGCAACAGGAAACACGTGAGGCGTGTATGCGCTCACGGAGGTGTGAATGGGTGTTGTGTACGCGCACCAAGATGCGCTCAGGTACAATGAAACAGTGCTTGTGATGTTATCAAAGTATATGGGGGAAGGGAGGCGTACCGCGTGGTCTACTCCAGACAAAGGACTTTGTCGGAGTTTTCCTGATCCCAATACTGATAACGTTCCAAGTTAACACTGAAATACTGACGGTGTACAAGAGTATAACACCGAGTCAGGAGGTTAGAAAAGAAGTGCATGCAACAGCCTAGCTATAAAAGCAGCACAGATTTCAGACAACAAAATTCAATATGCGTACTTAAACTGTTCCTCAGTTTAAATAGCACTTAACAATACTACAGGTTAACTAACGTGCCCAAATGCCAGCCTTACTGTAGTGAACGTCTGCTCGTATTGAGAGGGTAGTGGAAAGTCCGCACTTCTTGGGTCCTTGCCAGAGCTGGGGACGTCCGTCTGGTTCCACTGTGTCCAGAGAGTCCTCTTGGTCCTGAAAGTCCATTTCGGGAGGAAAAGTCTCTGACTGTCGACGTCCTGGTTCACACGATTACCATTAGAAGGAATCCTGTCACTTCTAAACTTTTCAATAACTGCTTTGGTCGCAGCGCTACGTTACTTGTGTAACTTATTACCGATTAACTCAGTTAAGAAAAAGACGCTACTAGAGCATTTATCACCGTGGGCAATGGTGTTTACAAAAGCGCTCATAATGGAAAATTGTATTTGAAATTATTTTTATTTGTTTGTTCAAAGGGACCAATAAATTATCTAAGTTCAATGAATTGGAATTTTCTGCCAATTATTTTTTGGTTTAAGCTTTACAGGGTTAATTAAAAGTTAATAATCACGATTTCAGTGTTAAATCGACATGTTATAAAGCAGTGGTCCCCAACCCCTGGGCCGTGGGCCGGCACCATTCTGTGGGTCAATAGGTACCAGGCTGGAGAGAAAGACTGCATAACTTGCACTATTTCCATTTTACTTATTTTTACTTATTATATCTGATTCTGAATGATGTTTTATTTTGATAAATTACAGGATTCTCTCTGCCACATCTGTCTATGACTCACACTTATAGATATCAAGATGCTTGCCTCGGTTTTACCTACATCCACTACAAGGGGCTGCTCCGGCTGGTTACACATAATGCTTTACCGCTAAGTTGAAACCCCTAAGCTAGCAAAATGAACAAAAAAACTAATATCTTCCATCCATCCATCCATTTCATGGATCAGCAAAGAAGCCTTGAAAACTTCTTTGCCACTTTGACTTAAATCATTCTGCAGTTCTCTATTAATTTCTTTCTGCTTGGCATCGTTGTAAACAAATATATATGGCCAGGAGGCGCAGGAGCACAGCGGCTTCTCGTGCTCCAGACGTCGAGTACTTTTTAAGTGCATTTTCAGTTGGCTCCGAGGCCAACTCGAACTGTTTTTTTGCTTGTGTAAACAAGCATGTAAGTTACGGCCGAACCGAACTCTTAAATTTAAGGGATGGTTCAGCCACGGGCCCGGACTCAGGGCCTTGCTGGCAGACTGCAGCTCCTGAGGACACCGGGCTGGTGTAGCAGAGCACGCCTCTCTTACATCGTATGCCCACCGGTCCTGTCCCTCTGGGAGGAGACCTAGAGGAAGACCCAGGACATGCTGGAGCGACTACGTTGCTCGGCTGGCCTGGGAGCGCCTTGGGGTCCCCCCAGAAGAGCTGGAGGAAGTGTCGAGGGAGAGGGAAGTCTGGGTGTCCCTACTCAGACTGTTGCCCCCGCGACCCGGCCTCGGATAAGCGGTTGAAGATGGATGGATGGATATATTTTTAAACATCTCCTAGTTTTAAGAGTTTTTTCTGTGACAGGATGTTTGTTGATGCATTTGTCAGTTGTGTTATTTTTAGAGAATGCTTTGACAAATATTCAAGTGTTGTTGGCAAAGTTTCTAAATCTGGGTCTGATGCAATGCACTCAGTCTGTAGCTAGCAGCTAGCTATTTCAGCACCTAGTTTATAGACCTTAAATATCACATCTGAAAGACAAAGAAGACATTCTCACCCTCAACTCTGTTGGAGATAAGAATGTCCCTAAATTTTAACTTAAATTTAAGTTAAATTTTAACATTTTACAGGAATGTTCCAGGTTCGATGTAGTTTTTGTCAACGACATTCTTTCGAATGTTCCAGGTTCTATGTAGTTTTTGTCAACGACATTCTTTCCATAGTTTTCTCTACTTTCTATCTCTTCCTATTCTTAGATGTTTAGAAGTAATCAATTGGACTGGTTAAGGTTTTTTATGAAGCGGTTTAACCTCTTAGAAGGCATTTATATCAACCAAGAGAAAACATCACAAAGGCTTTAGCATAAGACACAAACATGTAATTAGCTCTGTTCCTGATGGTACAACTTGCTCCAGGTGAATAAACTGTGCTGTAAATGGGTGCTGGGGTTGATAAAAAAACAACAACAAACAGACACACACATAGACCATGTCAAAGCCTACATTGTGTTTGGGTCTTACATCACCCCACTATGGCCATTTAAAAGGATGAATTCATCGAGGATTTCCTGAATTTGCGGAAGAATTGCTAAACCAGCAAAAAGAAGAAGATGCTCTTATTTACATTGCCCATATTGGAAAAAATAAACTGTTAAAAAACATTTCCTGATCTGTTCTGTCTTTCTATCATTCAGAGGACGTACATTACGCGAGACATCATGGCCACAGATGGAGGGAACCAGACCAGCTCAGTAGAACTGGCTGTAACCATCACCAATGTGAAGAATCAGCCTCCACACTGGGAGAAGGACAGTTACAGTGTGGTCATAGCAGAAAACACTGTCAGAGACACACCAGTGGTGGTGAGTCAGAGTCTACGTTATATATACAGTATGTACAAGGCCAGCAGCCTCTGCTGGCCTAAACAGTATGAGAATCGCTCACTATGGTTCGACCTATTCATCATCATTATTTATAAATAATACAGAATAGTCTGTTTTAAGGTTGTAATGATGCATCAAGAATGGGTTAAAAATTGATACAGATGGCTGACAATTCACATAGGATGTAATAAAACAAACAAAAAATTGCCTTGGCTACTGCTCCCTTGGCCCCTCTTCCAGCTTCAGAGTGTTCCTGTCTACTTGCCTCATCTCCCTGACTATCCCATTCTTAAAACTCTTTTTGTTATCTTATGCCCCCTTCCTAAAACGACATCTTGATTCCACTACCAACTTTCACACCTAATACCTAACACCTTTCTGCCAGGTTGCCAGTCTTCTGGTAGTTCCTCTGTACCCTGGAGAGCATCTCTCAACTCAACTCAACACTCTGCAATACTCCTCCTTTTTAAGTTTCTAAGACAAGTTTGATATAAGTAAATTACATATCAGTAAACCGCAGTAGCAATGGAGCAGAAAAACGTATAGAGTATATTGATGGTACACTTGTGAATCAGTTCTGTTTTGAGCATCACAGGTCAGTAAAGTTAAACAGATGACCCTGAAGGGCATGTGACACGACAGCAGAGAAATATAGAATGTCAAGCTTGGAGTTTAGTATTGCATGAATTACCATAAATCAACATAAATATTAGTCTGCCTTGTCAGATGGTGTTAACTCTGTTGTACTTCTCTTTAAATGTTTCTCCCGCCGTGTTGAAACTGCTGATGAAACCTTTTAATTTAAAGTTCTAAACAAAGAGACAGGAGAGTCATCATTGCTCATTTCAATTGTGTTTGAGTGGAGGCTTGTAGGGAGAAGGAATATGGTTTCGACAGTGCCGTGGTTTTTACCACTGTGGCAGTTCCACAGACGATTTGATGAACGTCAAAGGGGGAATAATGGCTGCACTGTTGAAATTTAGGGTTTTTTTTTTTTTTTTTTTAACAGCTTTATCGGTAAACCTGACATGTTTGTCAGCGGTGGATTCCTAATGTGGTAACTTCTCATTAGAACAGCAGCCGCAGGTTGAAGGGATGAAGCTCAGGTCGGTCACTGGAGACCAGCTTTACGGTCCAACGTGGCACTGGTTCTTCTTTTAATTGGTGTGTGTTTGTGCGAGTGCGTGGTCTCTGCTTAATTAGTGAATGCACAAACTGCAGAACATAGAGCAAAGAGCAACAGCCTAATTTTGCAGGGTTTCACACAGGTCCTGTCTATTCAGTCTTCACTGTCCCTGCATTTCAGTTGACATTATTATTATTATCATTATTTTGAAAACTTATTAAATACATAGACAAATTCACTCTGTCCAATCATTTGGGAACATTCCTG